AATGAAACTCTTGTAATATGTGTTGAATCAAAGCATGTCCCCGAGGAACTACCAACCTGCCTTTCCAGAATAACAAGTTATCAACCACTGCATAGTGGTCATAGCCAGCATGATTGTTATGGCAGGCGTGGATAATATCTTGCAGCTTAGAATTTTCTTGTTGGGCCTGCTGTAGTGAAGTCATGATCTCCGGAATAGGTTGAGAAAGAGCTATATAACAGGACCTAGATAAGGAGTCTGCTACCACATTTTCCTTACCCGGTTTATACTCGATTGTGAAGTCATAGCCGAGTAACTTATGCAACCACTTCTGTTGCTCTGGTGTTTGTAAGGTTTGGTCTGTTAAACTTCGTAAGCTTTTATGATCTGTACGAATGACAAATTTGTGACCCAATAGATAATGCCTGAACTTCGCAATGGCTTCAGTTATAGCAAAAAATTCCCTGGTGTAGGCAGACTGTTTTTGCATTCTGATAGACATTTTTTTTGAAAAATATGCTATGGGATGCTGCTTTTGACTGAGGACAGCCCCAATCCCAGTTCCCGAAGCGTCTGTTTCCAACGTGAATGGTACTGAGAAGTCCGGTAGCCGTAATACCGGTGCCCTTGTAATGGAACTTTTTAGCATGTTAAATGCCTGTGTAGCCAAATCGTTCCAAGCAAAGCTGTCTTTTTTTAGCAAATCTGTCAATGGTCCTGCCAATGAAGCATACCCTTTGATAAATCGTCTATAATACCCCGTTAGCCCTAGAAACCCACGGAGTTGTTTCAAATTGCCCGGTATGGGCCAATCCAGTACTGCCTGTATCTTGTCATTTTCCATTGCAAGTCCTTGAGCAGAAACCGTATGGCCTAAATACTCCACTTGTTGTTGGCCGAAACAACACTTGGATAACTTGGCATAGAGCTGGTGTTCGTGCAGTAGCTTCAAAACCATTTCTAAGTGTTGGAGATGAGATTCCCATGATGGACTGTAAACCAGAATATCATCAAAAAATACCAAAACGCACCTCCTTAATAAGTTGCGAAATACGTCATTCATGAGACTTTGGAAAGTAGCGGGAGCATTTCTGAGGCCGAACGGCATAACCAGCCACTCATATAACCCCTGATGCGTTCGAAAGGCCGTTTTATGTCTATCCTCTTCTCTGATCAAGATTTGGTGATAACCCGATCGTAGGTCGAGCTTTGAAAAATATTGTGCTCCACCCAGTTCGTCAATGAGTTCATCTACTGTGGGTATGGGAAAACTATCTTTTATTGTTAAAGCATTCAAGGCCCTGTAGTCTATACAGAATCTCCAAGTGCCATCCTTTTTCTTGACTAAAATTATAGGCGAAGAAAAAGGGCTAGTGCTAGGGACAATGATGCCTTTCTGCAGCATCTCTTGCACCATTTTTTCAATCTCTTGTTTTTGACTAAAAGGATATCTATAAGGTTTAACTTTAACGGGATTAGCACCATGAACCAGCGGAATAGAATGAGTATGGTATCTGGGAGGTGGCAATCCGTTAGGAACATCAAAAACTCGTTGATACTTTTGCAATAAGGCTGCCACTGCAGGTTGCATATCAGAAGGTAAATCCAACCTGTGCTCCTGTGGACCATTAGTAGTTTGTAGATATAAGAAATGAATTTCAGCAATGGCATGCGTTTCCTGCATTCTTCTTAGTTGTGTGAATTGGTTTGAACTGGGCAACTTGCTCTTCTCACCCTGTAGTGTAACAAACTGGTTGTTCAATAAAAATTTGAGCGATAAGTTGCTATAATCTGAAATGTGGGCACCCAATGTGGAGAGCCAAGCGGCTCCAAGAACTAGGTCTGCGCCTGAAACGGGTAACAAATATACTGGTAATACCAGTGAATGTCCTTGCACCTTAACTGCTAGCTCTTTGATACACCCTTCCACCGTCAAGGCCGATCCATTTCCCACCATGACATTAAAATTGGCAGTAGGTTCAATAGGTAACTTTAAGCATTTAGCGATTCTCGGTTGTAGAAAATTATCAGAACTTCCGCTATCCAATAAAATTTGAACCGGTAACCCTTGAATTGTCCCTTGAAAGCGCATGGTGCCAAGACCTGTTGACCCTTTTAGAGCATTAAAGGATAGATGGGGTTCTGCAGTGCTAGTAGGTTCCTTTTCATGAAGGAATTCAGAGTTTTTCAGAGTTTGTTCAACATTATCGTCCTCGTCCTCCACCTGTAACAGTAAGTATTGCTTGTTGGGACAACGATGTGCAGGAGTAAATTTCTCATCACAGGTAAAACACAACCCTTTTTCCCTGCGCAATTGCATTTCTGCTGCCGAAATCTTCCTTATATTACTGGTTTTATTATTGATTTTGACTGAGCTACTATTGGGTGGTGTATCTGGCAGTAGTGGAGGTAGAGACGTGGATTTAAGGGATTGAGATGGCTGATGGATCGACGGTTTGGAAGAATAATAGGATGGATAAGATTTGGATTTAGAGGTATATTTCTCCTCAAACAATTTAGCCAAAGAAACACATCGAACCAACGTTGTCGGTGCTTGAGCAATAACGTCTCTGCGAATATCCTCCTTTTAACCCCCAACAAAACAGTCCAACAGGGCTTCAGTGGTTACACCTTGCACCCGATTAGCCAGTGCAGTAAATTTCAAGTAATAATCGTGCACTGAAGTGTCCTGAATCAATTTAAATAGGCTGGACCGTGGGCATTCATAAGGGGAAGGGCCAAATTCTAGTTCCAGTGCTCTCGTAAAATCAGTCCATGAATGGAAGGGGTTAGATTTACTCATCATTTGAAACCATGGAACCACATCCTTTTCCATATGAACCGCAGCAATGGTTAAACGTTGAGCATCAGGTGTATTGTAATAAGAGAAAAACTGCTCGGCTTTGAAAATCCATTGTAAAACTTCTGAACCATCGAAACGAGGAAAATCCAATTTCACGTTCCTTACCTGGAAAGGAAGTCGTGATTCCCCATACTGTGGACCCAAGTGACGATCTGAAATGTTCTTCGCCAATGAATCGACAATAGATTCCAGTGTATGGAAACGTTCTTCATCATCCTTCCGCCGGATATCCAGAGCCTCTAAAAGTTTGTGTAGATCTCGATCAGTCGCTGAAATCGATTCTGAGAGTTGACGGACCTCCCCCGGAAGATCTTTCAGTCGTCCGATCTCTGTTGATAGTTCCTTCAGCCGAGAATCAATCTCCTTCAGGCGAGTACCTTCTGCCGCCATGACTGAATGAAAGCACCAATGAAAGGAATTCAATCCTTAAAATAAATGCAGCAATAGCAACGATCCAATAATTTTGATCAACAATAGACTATTGTAGTGATTTATAATCTAGCATTCTCGATCAGCAAATAAAATAAGATTATACAATGTAGTGATTTAGGCTTATGGATAGAGAAACAGAAATCAGGAGAAAGAAGAAGATCCTGGTAAATCCATCCATGCTCTCTTTCCTCTATCAACTAGCTTTTATATTGCACTTTCTGCCAATCATAATCCCTCAGCCTTGTGCTAGTTGTTTGGAGTCGGTTACTCCTCCTCAATTTCACGCTTACCACACCTTCTGTCACGTGCGCTGGTTTTATTAATGCTGATGTGGCTCCCTCCGACCCCTTTCCGGTCTGACTCATTACATAATGTAATCGATAATTAACTCTCATTCAAATACAAACTCATCTATATCTAATTGTATCAATTTTCGATCCTTTTATAAACAACAATTGTATTCACGTAATGACTAATCGAAAAGAAGTTAGAACATAGAATAGAATGATACAAACGTTAGGTTTAATGTTATTGTTGGTTAATATTGATTATTTGGTCCGTATATTAATATTATCTTTGATTAATTGACTGGTTGGTGATCCACCAATAGAATTCATGAATAGTTGAAGCCGTTTTTAATTGTTTTGATTTTAGTAGTTCTTTAGTTTGAATTTTTATTATCACTAATAATTGTAGCTGTTAATCTTAACCCCTTTTGTTGACTGTTTGGTTTGTGATTTTTTGCATTTAAAAAGTACAAGTAGTTCTCGTGTTTATGTTTAATTTAAGAATTTATTCTTTTGACTTTCCCAATCTATATTTCACTTTGATTCGTTGAATATGTTTCGCATCTTTAATTGTCTGTTTTGTTTCAATTTATTCATACTAATTTTTGTATGATTTTAGTGTTTTAGAGATCACGTTAACACGGCATGTCAATACTGATTTAAGAAATTGCTTAAAAAATGAGTAAAGCATTGGTAAAATTCTGAAACATGATTATTCTTTTTCGAGAATAGGATTATAATTATATTAAATATTAACAAAACTTATTAAATGCTCCTTATATTCTACAAATGTTTTGCCAAATTTTCTAATGTAATTATTCCTTACAAGTTTGTCATTTCTGTTTGAAGCAATGCATATAAGATTAAAATTATTTTCCTTTATTCTACTAAAATCTTCAATTCTAAGAAAAAGACGCTCTATAATTGTGATCTCTAAAATCTTACTGAATGATCACTATGTTTGAGACAATTCAGTTTACAATGCTTGATCAACGATAAAGCAAACAGATCCCTGTCCGAATTCAAATTATTTTCGGAAAAAAATACATATTCAAAAACTACATTAAAAACTTTACAAAGTCACAAAAACCAGAATCAAATTTGATAAAAATTTGATACATAAAGTAAAAGTGAATTGTATTGATAAAGTGAATAGTGTCTAGAACAATCTCAGAACGGAGAGAGTATTAGCTCGAGTCCATGTGAACAAGTTCAATCTCATGTATTTGCGTTCGATTTTGTTGAACGAATTTGAACTCGTGTAAAAGCGTTCAAGCTCATTGAACAAGTTCGAACGCACATAAACGGGTTCGAGCTCGTGTGAACGGATTCGAGCTCGTGTGAACTACTTCGAGCTCGTGTGAACGAGTTTGCCCTGAAGTGGTTCATAGAGAGTGGAAAGTGGTATGAACCTGGCTAGATAATGCTTTTTCCTGATACGGCATACGGTTACACCGCGTCTTCTTAAAACCCCAAAAGGTTATTCTCATCGTCCCCTCTCACACACAGACACTATCTTTAATCAGACCGTCACTTTTATCTCTCACTCAACTGTTTAGACCTCTGTAAAAATTTCCGGAATCTTTCTCTCAGTCACCGTCCCTACCCTCGCCTATCCCCACCAACGGCTGATCTACAGAATTCCTTGCTTTCCTCGACGCCTATGTACAATCCCCTGTAAAACCTTCAAATATCACTCCTCCCCATTCCCCTGTTCAAACAAATTGCAAACCCGAACCTTCCCTTTCCAAGCATTGCAGTTTTCTTCGGATTTGAGCTTCTGGGTACTTCTCCCCGTCCTTGATGGTTGAAACCTTAGCATTCCAATTTTAAAGTCCGGTTTTTGTTTGTAGGGGATTTGAGATTGGGGTTTGTTAGGTTTAGAGGGAGTTGAATTGGCGTTAGAAAGGGGGGAATGGAGAAGTACGAGCTTGTAAAGGATATAGGGTCCGGTAATTTTGGCGTGGCCAGGCTTATGAGGGACAAGGAGACGAAAGAGCTTGTGGCCATGAAGTATATCGAAAGAGGACATAAGGTTTGCATACTACTTTTCTTTCATGGTTATCTATGATTAGTTTAATGTTTTTTGCTGTTATTCATCTCAACTCAGCTCATTAGAGAGTAGTGTAATGTTTTAGTAGTGCTTTTGACAGAATTTATAACTGGGTGAGGTAGCTCAACTAAGGCTCAAGGCACATAAGTGAAGCTATACTAAAATACGGAGTAGTTTTTAATACGGAGTACAACTTAATAGTTAGTAGCTAGCAGCTATTTTAATTCCAGATCTGATAACAGTTTTTGTCCATGTATTGATATGTGGGTTGGTTGTAGATTGATGAGAATGTGGCGCGGGAGATCATAAACCACAGATCTCTTCGACACCCAAACATTATTCGATTCAAAGAGGTGAAGTTTTGCACTTGCTATACAGCTTGGTTTCTGTGGAAGCTAGAAAGGAAGTGTTAAAGGACATGTTTAGCCCTAACTCTTTCACTTTTGTTTTTGGTATATTTAGGTGGTACTCACGCCCACTCATCTTGCCATTGTCATGGAATATGCAGCAGGTGGAGAGCTCTTTGAGCGCATCTGCAGCGCAGGAAGATTCAGTGAGGATGAGGTTCTTATTCTCACTTTTCTTAGACTACATCCTGGAAAATATAACTCACCCAAAATTTAGCTCTTTAAGGGTCTGTTGGGAACTCTAGGCATGTATCTGGTTCCTTTTTCTTTTATCTTTTATCTTCTTTATATTTCTATGTTTGTATGTTATTTTTATATTTTATCTTTCTTGTTCTTTTATCTTTTTATCTTTTATCTTTCTTATGTTCTTATATTACTTCTATCTTATACTTATCTTTATCTTAACCATTTTTATCTTACCTTATCTTTTTATTTTTCTTATTTTTCTTCTCTTTTTGGCTTTGATATCATGGATCAATTCATGTTAGCCGACCCCAAAATCTTTTGGGAGTAACACTTGGATGTAGTTGTTGTAGTTTATTCTCCGTACCAGTCAAACTTGGCAAAGTTTTGAGGGACGGAGGGAGTATGACATTTGCTCAAACTCATTTTATTTATATATTTATTTATTTATTTATTTATTTATTCCTTTATGGTAAAGAAAAAAAAATTAAAATTTTTAAGATATTTAAAAACATTCATCGTATATCAGTGTGTTTTTCATTTTCCATGCTAAAACAAAACACATAAAAGTAATCTTACTTATTTTTGCTGTACCTGGCTGTTTTCAATATCCAAACATACCCTAAGGTATCTAGATCTTTACATTTCAGAACATCCTTTTGACTGACAGTTTTTTCATCATGGTTTTGTTTAGGCTAGGTACTTCTTCCAGCAGCTTATTTCTGGAGTCAGCTACTGTCACTCTATGGTAAGTTTCCTTTACACATATTGATGGAACTTAGTTTATTGAGTTTGTGTACATTCTTTTCCTTTGCACTATCAGAATCCTTGTTTCCTCGAGATCAGTTTGGATCGAAAATTCCAGAGGGCTAAGTGTACACTTTATATTTTCTTATATATTGGAGACGTCATAAAAATTGAGCACATAATACACTAGATGATAATATAGCATTAAAATAATTATTTTTAGAAACAGTTGGTGTGTATAAAGGGTCTGTTTGATCAATTATCAAGAAATAGACCACCGCGCTCTCCTAAACCTTCCCTTCCATAACCCTTCATCCAAACAGACCCTTAGAGAAAAAGTAAATTCAATAAGCTGTTCATTTGTTGTGCAGCAAATCTGTCATAGAGATCTAAAGCTGGAGAATACACTCTTGGATGGAAGCCCAGCTCCACGCCTAAAGATTTGTGATTTTGGTTATTCGAAGGTATAGATGTATAAATGCGTGTGTGTTATGTATGTGTGTATTTATAGGCACACACACCCATACAAATATATAAATTTTGTGTGTGCATCTTTAAGTACATAAGAAAGAGTTGTCTATTTTTCAAGAAATTATAATCAATAGATTAGGCAATTGATGTAACTTATCATGTGCAAACATGGTAGTATTTGATGTGAGAGACCTGATGCTCATTTTCTCCCCATATGATCCTCTTAGTCATCTCTGTTGCACTCAAGACCAAAATCAACTGTTGGTACTCCGGCATATATTGCTCCAGAGGTCCTATCCAGAAGAGAGTATGATGGAAAGGTAAACCTTCATATTGGTCATGACATACCTTGCTTAACATGCTTTCTTTGGGTGTCTTTTGCAAATTTTGGAGAAGGTTGCTTTGGGCGAGTAATGCGTATTGTGGTTATTGTGGGATTTTATTTACAAGTCAAGAGAGAATTCTAAATGTTGGAGCTATGAATAATGAACCATCATAAGAATATAAAATACAAGCCAATCAATAAGATAAATAAGGTGTTGGGTAATTTCTTTTATTCGGTTGAAACAAGCGTAAAACTTAGCATGCAAACTTTAAGATTGATCTAATCCAACGAATGACCTTTTTGCTGGGTCCGGTATCGAACATATATAAAAATACAAAGGAACACCCAAAGCCTTGTGTTATTTCTACAATGTTTGACTTTCTAGTTTCTATGGTGAAACCCCAATTCTTAATACCAAATATACTTGACATGCCACATGTAATGGTGGGTTGTGTTTTGTCTAGATGGCGGATGTATGGTCTTGCGGAGTGACACTTTATGTGATGCTGGTTGGTGCATACCCTTTTGAAGACCAGCAGGATCCCAAGAACTTTAGGAAAACTATTCAAGTGAGTTTACAAGCGGGCATGCGAAAGAGTAGAAACCATTAGTCCTTAATTAGTTTTATGTAAAAAAAAATTCTAACATTTTGATCCTGCTTTTATTTTTCATCCAGCGTATACTGTCTGTGCAGTACAAGATTCCTGACTATGTCCACATTTCACAAGATTGTAGGAATCTTCTCTCTCGCATTTTCGTTGCCCATCCCATAAGGGTTTGTTCCCCTCACTATCTAATATTCTATTTCTATCTGCTATATGTTCACACTTAAGAAGATTGCCTTCAAAAGGAGACATAATGTGAGTCTATATTTCATGTGGATCAGTAATGGATATGATTTGAGAAAAAAGGCTCCATTTGTTTCTAGGGGGAAATCTTTTCTTTAAATTACTTTCTGGGGATTTAAGATCGCAGATGATTAATTTTAGGTTATGCTTCTTTCTGCAAAAATATTATCAAAGAAATGTTTTCAGAATTTTGAAATGTTTGACACCTGAAACCATTTTCTTTTGGGATTTCCTGTGTTTTACACCGTAAATGTTTTTAAAGAGAGGAAATCATTTTCTTGAAGCAAACAAGCGTTTAAAATGCTGAACATTTATGGTGAACATATCCTCTTAATATTTTCTTTCCACACAAACTGATTTTCCAGAACCAAACAGAACCTCAATATGCATTCAGTTACCAGCATATGACAGTTGTAGTATATTCTAAACGTAAAAGCTGCTCTTAATGTGTGATTTACAGAGGATAACTATTAAAGATATAAAGTCCCACCCCTGGTTTTTGAAAAATCTACCGAGGGAATTAACTGAAGTGGCACAAGCAGCCTATTACAGGACAGAAAATCCAACATTTTCCCTCCAAACTGTGGAGGAGATCATGAAAATTGTGGGTGAAGCGAAGACCGCTCCCCGAGTTTCCCGCTCCCTTGGTGGTTTTGGCTGGGAAGGGGAAGAAGAAGAGAAGAATGAAGGCGAAGAAGAAGACGATGATGATGATGACGACGATGATGATGATGAAGATGATGATGAATATGAAAAGCAAGTGAAGCGAGCACATGAAAGTGGAGAGGTTCACTTGAGTGACTTGACTTAAGGCCCCCTGCCATCTGCTATTTGCTGACTGTACAATTATTAGCTAATTTTCGGTTGTGGAATTAAATAAGTCTGTAAATTTCTTCTTTGGTTACAAGTTTAAGTAACCAAGATCTATGTAGTAGTATTGGTGTTCCAGTTACCAGACACCCTCTATGTCCTGATGGAGAAGGGGATTAATATCTTCCCTAGTATGCAGTGCTAAATATTTCAATGTTAAAAAATGTAAGAATCGTTTTTACCCTAGTTTGGTTGGTTATATAAAACATTGTTTATGTATAAATTCATAAAAGGCTAAAGGGTCAAATAGGTACATGAACTAACTTAAAGTGTTCAATTAGCATCTTATATAGGAGGTTCTGCCCGGCCGTCGCCAATTGGGGCGGTTCCCGGTGGAAGTTGTTGATGAAATTTTTTGAGCATCTTCTTCATTAAGTCTAGTTTATCCATACCAAATTTCAGCTAAAAATTCAACCGGGAAGGCAGTCAAATGATTTTTTGAAGATAACTGCGTAGTTAAACAAGTAAACAACGCAGTACATTTTGGAAAATCATTTGACTGCCTTCCCAATTTAATTTTTATCTGAAATTTGATATGGGTAAACTAGACTTAATGAAAAAGATGCTCAAAAAATTTCATCAAAAAATTCCACCGGAAATCGTCCCAATTGCTGACGGCCGGGCAGAACCTCCTATATAAGGGGCTAATTGAACACTTTAAGTTAGTTCATGTACCTATTTGACCCTTTAGCCTTCATAAAATGTAGTCTTGGAATGAGTATGACTGTGAGTATGTTAACAAGTAATTATTTCATAGAAAAAGGTTTGGGAACGAGTATATTAACTAGTAAACCCTTCATATTCATTTACTGGCAACATATTTGTTTTCCGGAAATTTAAGAGTTTTTTTTTTCGAATTAATGTTAATTAATTACGAAAATAATGTTGGAAAAAAAGTATTTACCGATCTACTGCTGGGATTAACCATGGTCAGAGGTAAGTCGCTTAACAGTTGGGCGACTTATAAGTCGCCAAACGGTTTGGCGACTTATAAGTCGCCAAACGGTTTGGCGACTTATAAGTCGCCAAACGGTTTGGCGACTTATAAGTCGCCCAACCGTTAGGCGACTTACCCCCTTCTACTGCCAGCCACACACGATCGTGCGTCCCAGGGTACGTACGATCATGCCTAAGTCTGAAAACAGAATTTCAGCATGTTTTTTGCCCCAGTTCAACCTAGACTCATCTGTTTGCTATAAATAAGGTCTCTCTTCTCCTGTTTAAGTGTAACGAGCCAGATACAACACATTATAAAACATACAACACACGTCTTCACAATCACATACATAACACCTACTCTCAACAACATAAAAAACACCTTGTAAATACCCTTTACAAATCAAATACAAAACCTTATATTCATAACCGGTATAACACAGTACAATCATCCAATATTCATAACAAGTAATCATCTAATATTCATACTCGAACACATCAAGACAACATACAAGAGTTTACAAGAGATAATACGTAAAATGTTGTAAATTGTTCCTACAACATCTACTGTATAAGAAAAACTGCAATACAAAAGACAAACTACAAGTTCCCATGGCCAGTTTGGTCATCTTGGTCATGGAGATGTTGCTGCTCATGTCTACGCCTACGCCGTTGTCGTTGTTGAAGAACCACTCTCTCATGCTGCGTCTGGGATGATGAAACCGCCGCTGCACTAGACGTGGATGGCATCTCCTGAGTATGACTGTGAGTATGTTAACAAGTAATTATTTCATAGAAAAAGGTTTGGGAACGAGTATATTAACTAGTAAACCCTTCATATTCATTTACTGGCAACATATTTGTTTTCCGGAAATTTAAGAGTTTTTTTCGAATTAATGTTAATTAATTACGAAAATAATGTTGGAAAAAAAGTATTTACCGATCTACTGCTGGGATTAACCATGGTCAGGGGTAAGTCGCTTAACAGTTGGGCGACTTATAAGTCGCTTAACAGTTGGGCGATTTATAAGTCGCCAAACGGTTTGGCGACTTATAAGTCGCCAAACGGTTTGGCGACTTATAAGTCGCCCAACCGTTAGGCGACTTACCCCTTATATGATCGAAGGCCAGCAACTACTGCCAGCCACACACGATCGTGCGTCCCAGGGTACGTACGATCATGCCTAAGTCTGAAAACAGAATTTCAGCATGTTTTTTGCCCCAGTTCAACCTAGACTCATCTGTTTGCTATAAATAAGGTCTCTCTTCTCCTGTTTAAGTGTAACGAGCCAGATACAACACATTATAAAACATACAACACACGTCTTCACAATCACATACATAACACCTACTCTCAACAACATAAAAAACACCTTGTAAATACCCTTTACAAATCAAATACAAAACCTTATATTCATAACCGGTATAACACAGTACAATCATCCAATATTCATAACAAGTAATCATCTAATATTCATACTCGAACACATCAAGACAACATACAAGAGTTTACAAGAGATAATACGTAAAATGTTGTAAATTGTTCCTACAACATCTACTGTATAAGAAAAACTGCAATACAAAAGACAAACTACAAGTTCCCATGGCCAGTTTGGTCATCTTGGTCATGGAGATGTTGCTGCTCATGTCTACGCCTACGCCGTTGTCGTTGTTGAAGAACCACTCTCTCATGCTGCGTCTGGGATGATGAAGCCGCCGCTGCACTAGACGTGGATGGCATCTCCTGAGTATGACTGTGAGTATGTTAACAAGTAATTATTTCATAGAAAAAGGTTTGGGAAGGAGTATATTAACTAGTAAACCCTTCATATTCATTTACTGGCAACATATTTGTTTTCCGGAAATTTAAGAGTTTTTTTTCGAATTAATGTTAATTAATTACGAAAATAATGTTGGAAAAAAAGTATTTACCGATCTACTGCTGGGATTAACCATGGTCAGGGGTAAGTCGCTTAACAGTTGGGCGATTTATAAGTCGCTAAACGGTTTGGCGACTTATAAGTCGCCAAACGGTTTGGCGACTTATAAGTCGCCCAACCGTTAGGCGACTTACCCCTTATATGATCGAAGGCCAGCAACTACTGCCCGCCACACACGATCGTGCGTCCCAGGGTACGTACGATCATGCCTAAGTCTGAAAACAGAATTTCAGCATGTTTTTTGCCCCAGTTCAACCTAGACTCATCTGTTTGTTATAAATAAGGTCTCTCTTCTCCTGTTTAAGTGTAACGAGCCAGATACAACACATTATAAAACATACAACACACGTCTTCACAATCACATACATAACACCTACTCTCAACAACATAAAAAACACCTTGTAAATACCCTTTACAAATCAAATACAAAACCGTATATTCATAACCGGTATAACACAGTACAATCATCCAATATTCATAACAAGTAATCATCTAATATTCATACTCGAACACATCAAGACAACATACAAGAGTTTACAAGAGATAATACGTAAAATGTTGTAAATTGTTCCTACAACATCTACTGTATAAGAAAAACTGCAATACAAAAGACAAACTACAAGTTCCCATGGCCAGTTTGGTCATCTTGGTCATGGAGATGTTGCTGCTCATGTCTACGCCTACGCCGTTGTCGTTGTTGAAGAACCACTCTCTCATGCTGCGTCTGGGATGATGAAGCCGCCGCTGCACTAGACGTGGATGGCATCTCCTGAGTATGACTGTGAGTATGTTAACAAGTAATTATTTCATAGAAAAAGGTTTGGGAATGAGTATATTAACTAGTAAACCCTTCATATTCATTTACTGGCAACATATTTGTTTTCCGGAAATTTAAGAGTTTTTTTTCGAATTAATGTTAATTAATTACGAAAATAATGTTGGAAAAAAGTATTTACCGATCTACTGCTGGGATTAACCATGGTCAGGGGTAAGTCGCTTAACAGTTGGGCGATTTATAAGTCGCCAAACGGTTTGGCGACTTATAAGTCGCCAAACGGTTTGGCGACTTATAAGTCGCCCAACCGTTAGGCGACTTACCCCTTATATGATCGAAGGCCAGCAACTACTGCCAGCCACACACGATCGTGCGTCCCAGGGTACGTACGATCATGCCTAAGTCTGAAAACAGAATTTCAGCATGTTTTTTGCCCCAGTTCAACCTAGACTCATCTGTTTGCTATAAATAAGGTCTCTCTTCTCCTGTTTAAGTGTAACGAGCCAGATACAACACATTATAAAACATACAACACACGTCTTCACAATCACATACATAACACCTACTCTCAACAACATAAAAAACACCTTGTAAATACCCTTTACAAATCAAATACAAAACCTTATATTCATAACCGGTATAACACAGTACAATCATCCAATATTCATAACAAGTAATCATCTAATATTCATACTCGAACACATCAAGACAACATACAAGAGTTTACAAGAGATAATACGTAAAATGTTGTAAATTGTTCCTACAACATCTACTGTATAAGAAAAACTGCAATACAAAAGACAAACTACAAGTTCCCATGGCCAGTTTGGTCATCTTGGTCATGGAGATGTTGCTGCTCATGTCTACGCCTACGCCGTTGTCGTTGTTGAAGAACCACTCTCTCATGCTGCGTCTGGGATGATGAAGCCGCCGCTGCACTAGACGTGGATGGCATCTCCTGAGTATGACTGTGAGTATGTTAACAAGTAATTATTTCATAGAAAAAGGTTTGGGAACGAGTATATTAACTAGTAAACCCTTCATATTCATTTACTGGCAACATATTTGTTTTCCGGAAATTTAAGAGTTTTTTTTCGAATTAATGTTAATTAATTACGAAAATAATGTTGGAAAAAAAGTATTTACCGATCTACTGCTGGGATTAACCATGGTCAGGGGTAAGTCGCTTAACAGTTGGGCGACTTATAAGTCGCCAAACCGTTAGGCGACTTACCCCTTATATGATCGAAGGCCAGCAACTACTGCCAGCCACACACGATCGTGCGTCCCAGGGTACGTACGATCATGCCTAAGTCTGAAAACAGAATTTCAGCATGTTTTTTGCCCCAGTTCAACCTAGACTCATCTGTTTGCTATAAATAATGTCTCTCTTCTCCTGTTTAAGTGTAACGAGCCAGATACAACACATTATAAAACATACAACACACGTCTTCACAATCACATGCATAACACCTACTCTCAACAACATAAAAAACACCTTGTAAATACCCTTTACAAATCAAATACAAAACCTTATATTCATAACCGGTATAACACAGTACAATC